GAGGGAGAAAGGGTGAGAGAGAGAGAGAGAGAGAGAGAGAGAGAGAGAGAGAGAGAACCTTGAAAGTTCCATCCTAATCTTTCAGTCAAGTCCTGTTCTGTACTGGACCCTGACTCTTTGAAGGGTCATGAGCCCTATGTCTGCCATGACCAGGGCTCAGCTATACATTCTAGGTTAAGGTTTGCCCCCACCCCAGCCCAGTACCTAGTCAGAAGCAGGATCGTATTAGGTAGCATGTGACTTTCTTGCAGAAGTTGCAATGGATGGTGCTGGGTGTGGAGCTGCACTATTTATGCAGAAATCTAAGCTGCTTGGACAATGAAAAGAATTACCTTTATCCTCAGTGTAAAATAAACCTCTCTTCATTGTAGCCTTAATTTTGAAGTGAAGGGAAGTTAATTTTAATTAACAAAAGTTAATGCTATTAATTAAACATTTGTTCTATTTTCACATGCGCACACAAATTTGCTTAAAGATATAATTGTTTCTGCTGAGGGTATGACAGAAGCTTTGTTTTGCTCTGTAGAGAGCATATTGAAAACAAGAATTAAAACAAACTTGGTCAAGATACTTAGTCCATGTTCTGAGTACATCTAATTGCTCTTTAAGTATTACACAATACAGGGAATAAGTGTTTTTATTTTGCCAATAACATTTAGCTAAACCATTTTTACATTTCTATCACCAATAACATTCAGACAATACTTTCAATAATTTTCAAAACAAATTTTCAAAGTTTATTCTTATAGAGTATCTAATGTTAATCTCTCAGCAACTCTGAAGAAACAGTGATTTTCCTCCTTATTTTTTTCTTTTTTTTTTGTTCAGATAGAGTGGGAGGGAGAGAGAGGAACAGAGAGAGAGAGAGAAACATCGACGTGAAAGGAACACATCGAGTGGCTGCCACCCGCACAACCGACCAGGGCCGGGGACAAACTGCAACCGAGGTACGTGCCCTTAGCGGGAACCGAACCCGGGTCTCTCAGGACCGCAGGCCGACGCTCCAACCGCTGAGCCAAACCGGCAAGGGCGATTTTCCTCCTTATTAATGAAGAAATTTATATGTATAGCTCTTATTAAACACATAACAACAACTTAAGCTCTACTTTAGCATTGTACTCTAGAAAAAGGTACCATAAGTCCTGTCAAAGATGAATCCAAAAATAAAATGATTCAGAGCTGTAGGCTATAAACATGTCTGGATGAATGACAGAGCACTCATTGGCACCATGGTGCCCAACCTCCAAGAGGAAGAAGGGTATTTTGCCTTAATTGCTCATATTGGGTGAGAGCATAAGGAGCATTCAGACCACACAAAATATATATCAACAGTCCACTAAATGTATTGTATTAATGTAGACGAAGAGTTTGTATACGTTCATATGCACATTTATATGTACGTATATTTTTTCTTTTCTTATCCAGCCCTAAACAATTGCTAATCTACTTTCTGTTTCTACAGAATTCCCCATCCTAGACTTTCATGTGAATGGACACATATATATGTGTGTGTGTGTGTGTGTGTGTATACACTTTTGTCACTGGCGTCTCTCACTTCACAGTGCTTTTAAGGTCCATCTAAGTTACAGCATAAATCAGCATTTCATGCATTTTCAGGGCCCAATAATATTCTATTGTATAGACATACTACACTTTATTTATTCATCCACTGATGGACAGTTGGATTATTTCCACCTTTTGACTCGTCTCAATAGTGTTGCTATAGACATCTGTGTGCAAGGTTTTGTGTGGATGCAGGTTTTCATTTCTCTTGGGAATATACCTAGGGGTGAAATTGCCGGGTCATATGGTAACTCTGTTTAATCATTGAGGAAGTTCCAGACCATTTTCCAAAGTGGCTGCATCTTGTACACTCCCATCAGCAATGTCTGAAGGGTCCTACTTCTCCACATCCTCACCTGGATTTACGTTTAAGCGCTATTACTTTGCTAAGAACGATGGAAGAAGTGGGCCATACCCTGCTGACTTACTGGAGGCCATACAAGCTCTGAAATGCCTGCTTCCCAACTTCTTTTTATCCCCCATTTTAAATTTTAAAAAAATTATTTGAAATCAGTTTTAGTGTGCAATAAAATAAACCTTCTCTCATTTAATCCACTGCTATTCTGGGTCTCTGTGAATGGCAGCCCAACAGAATTCCTAATTCATGTGGTCCTCTTAGCACATCTTGAACCTGGGAAGCCATTAAAAAGAAAATCATTGAACTGAACGTGTAAGGATATTTTCTGTGGAGAAGTTTCTATATTATCCTGCTCCACTCTGGAAAATGCACATTATCTCCTTCTTCATTTCAGATTCCAACATTCACTAGCCATTCTCTTCTTAGAAACTGTTTCAGTTCTCATTAGCTCTGCAAGAATGAAACACCAACTTGATGCCCAGAATCAGATGGAAGTGTTACAGGTGGAGTCATTTTCAAATGGGAAGGAAAGCACTCTTTGTAGCTTAGGTAGACGGAGCACGAACTTATTATTTTATTCCGCAAATATTATCCTAATATTTAGGACAGCATTAATAATGATGAAAAGTCATTTAAAGCTTTATCTTAAACTCTCTGGGAGCCTACGGAATGTCAGTGCCATGCTGACCAGACAGTGCTGTATCACATGTCTGTTCACTTTTCGACATGTGTTTGGAAGGCATTCCAGCCTCCCTGGCAGGTTGTTAGTTAGATTCATAGCTCAGCTTTCCACCTTGACCTTTGGAAAAGTAAAAGGAAACCTGAGTCATTAGTTATAAAAATCAGCTTTGTTTGCCCACTTCCCCTAATGCCTATGTTCCAATTATGTGTATTTTGAGGGGATACTGTGAACACACACAACTTGTCATTCTACTGTCTTTCTTGTAACAAATGTAAATATCTACCGCAAAGCCAGTCCTTTATCAATAGGGTTTCTAGTACTTTTTCCTTAACTAGTAACTCACCACTGGTGGAGAGGAGAACATTATAGAGTCAGGACATTTTGCGATCTATTTCTCTCTCCGTGCTTTAATGAACTGATTGATACACTCAGCCAACATTTGTTGAGCACCTACTATGTTAAAAAAATTTAAAAAGCACTTAATTCTGTTAAAAAATTATAATCTCTTTTTTCTTCTAAAGATTTTTTAAAATTGATTTTTAGAGAGAGAGGGAGGGGAGGATATCAATGTGAGAGCAATACATAGATCATTTGCCTCCTGTACGCCCCCTACCGGAGATCGAACCCACAACCTGGACACGCCTAACCTCTTTTTTTCAAACTCCAAGTAGGTTTTATGCATAAATTAATGGTTCTTAGAATCAAATATTTTTAAACAAAATATCTTAGTCATCTTTTTTTTTTTGCAGGAATTTTTTTCCTCATTTTAAGGGTTTTGCTCCCCCTTCTTCTCCCCTCACCCCCATTTCCTTCTTACAAACAGGAAAGTAATTTAGCTTGTGTTGTTAACAGGTCAGTCTGAATACTGCTTATAAAAACCAAATATAGGAGCAATGTTTTTCTCTCCCCAAACTTCTCCTGAATCTCAGATTTTCAACAATTTGCTATTTTGTAGACCATGTTTATTATTTGTTTATTCATAAATATTTATTAAAGACTTGATATTTGCTCAGCTGTATATTTTGTGCCATACTGAGGCAGGCTCAAACCTACCAATGACAGACAGAATCCCCAAGGAATATATCCAAAGAAAAATGTCAATTTTAAGGGTTTTGTACATTTCAGGAGCTATACTATCTTACTACCTTTCTATTAAAATGACAGCATCTTCTACACATTTTTACTATCCATTTTGGCCAGCTACCTTTCTATCTTGAGATTAAGCTAAATCTCTTGGTTCAGACAACCCTGGATTTAAACTATTCAACATCCTAGTAGCTGAATGCTTTTATGGCAATCTGGGCAGTGTTTTCATTTGTAAAACAGGAATAATAATTTTACCTACAATACTGGGCTGCTGTAAGCATTAAATGTAAAATATACAGCATGTGCCTGGCACATAATAAGCAGTTCATTCATGTGAGCTGTGGATTTTCGATTTGTTTACATCTTTATTCAATAACCATCTTTCATTCCACCCTGTTAAATTGTTTCAGTCAGTGGCTACCCAATAAACTTTTTAACAAATATATAACATAACCAGGGATTGAGTCATAGCACATTGGGATTGCTTTTCAGCATAGATACTTCTGGGAACTAGTATTCCAGCACTTTTTCTTCACGTGATGACTGTAGGGTGCTATAAAAACAGGGTTTGCTTCTTTCCTGATGACAAAAGAGAAGAGAAGATGAAATCATTATAAGCATCAATAAAAAGTATAAAAGATATATGACTGTATGGGAATGAAAACATTATATACATATACATACATAAACCGTTTTTTGTTCGTTTTGTTTTTTCCACACAACCTTTTTCCTTTAAGCCCAGACTTGATTCACAGGTACAGGCCTCTGTAACTTTTCTTGGCAATGAAGTCATGAAGTCTCCTGTCCCCCAAAGCCACAGAAATCTATAGTAGAAGCAAGTAGCATGCCCTACATTGGGCACAGTGGGAACCATTCATTATCGCTCCCACCTGTCGGCCAGGTCATTGTGACGTAAACGCTATGGACACGTGGAACACCTGAGGGAGAGCTGGGGCGGGGTCACCCTGGGCCGAAGATCCTAGCGGGGGATACCCCAGGAGATGGTGGTGGAGGTCAGACCCCAGGGAGTAGACCGGGGGAGACTCACTCCCCCAATCCCGGACCCACCCCAAACGAGGTGAGGCCACAGCCCTCTCCCTCATGCAGATCCCGGGGCGTTCTGGGGCGGGGGTGGGCTTCCCCCCGGGAGTCTCGGGCGCGGAGAGCTAGGGGGAGGGGGCGGTGGCGGTGCCCCGGCCGCCGCGCCCGCTCCCCCCGGCCGCTGCGCTGCGCTGCGGCGCTCGGGCTCCGCGGGTTGCTATTCCGGCTGGCGGCCGCCGCCGCAGGAAGGGCCGGCTCCTCGCTCCCCCGCCCTCTTCCCTCGCCTTCTGCTGACGCTGACGTCGGATGAGGGAGCTGGAGGGACGCTCCGACCACGGCCCGGAGGCTGCTGGGGGCCGGGGCTCCGAGGTACCTGCCCTCCGGGGCCGGGGTGGGGGCGCGCCGGGCGGGCTGCAGGCTGCAGCGCGAGTCGCCCGGCAGCCGGGGCAGTCGGGGCGCCAGCCTGGGACTGCCAGTTCTGCCCTGCGTGGGCGGCGGGTGACAGGCGGGTCGCCTCCCCTGCCACTGATCCCAGTGCGGGAACCGCTGAAGCCCCTTCCCCTCCCCCGCCTGCTCCCTCGGGCCTGGGCAGATCTGGCGGAAGCGCGCGCCATGGGAGCGTGCGTCAGCCCCGGGGGAGCGGGAGGACGGCGTTCGGGCTCCGGCCCCATCGCTCGCCCCAGCGCCGGCAGCACCCCCGCCCGCGCCAGCCCAGCCCACCCACTCTGCGCCTCGCTTCCCGGCGGCTCCGGCCCCAGGACCTCAAGGTCCTTTTACCCGGGGCTGACTTGTTGACAAGTTCACCTGCCGTGGCGCCTGGTGTTTGCCTTTTCTTTTCACCCCATTACCCATCTTGGGCGGAGGTGGCACGGAGCAGATGGGTACCTCTTTATAACCGCTACTGCCGGGAGGCCTGAGCTACTGGTCCCCTGCGAACGAGGTTGGTCACCTGCCTCGGACCCGACTGGATCTAGAGACCCTAAGCAAGCCAGGTCCCTGCAGACCCGGTGCGCCCGTTTCCTTTGGGTGCTGCTGACTCCTCCTTTCCTGACCCGGGGCTATTGCAGCTCCTGCTTCCTCTAGAAACGGACATATCCTGTTATGCTTGCCTTTGCCCAGAGCGACTCCCCATTATTAACCTTTCGCACTTTTTACTTGGAGTGCCCCCTAGGCCCCTTCAGTTTTTCTTTGGGGGTCTTAAAGTACTGCGCCCTTTAGCTGGTGGAAGGTATTAACTGCCTGGTTGGAGGGAGCCCTTCCTAGTTTAGAAAGAGAATCAGGTTTTCCTCTGTTTAGATAGTATTAAAAATATCAGCACGAGAAGGGGTGCTTTTGGCAACCTCGGTAACTGAGATCCAGTATATAAATGATCAGGGCCAGGAAAATATAGCACCAGCTGGTTTGAGAATGATACTGATATTGAATGTAGGAAGGAAGGCACATAAAGCATGAGCCATTAAGGCCCTATACATTATGACTCATTGCAAACATTTCAGTCAAGTCTGTCCCGAGAAATCTCAAATTGGTTTCAGTTGACCTTTAGTTTAGATTTTCTGTGATCTGAACTGTTTTGGGGGGTTGGGAGGTGAAATAGGAAATGCTTATTGGTTTGAAATTAATGCTCCAGACTTAGTTGCTTACTTTCTATTGAAAATACACACACATTCTAAAAATACTTTTAAGTGGATTTTCAAACCAGTTTCTCTTTAGGTTTCAGTTTTTATTTTTGAAACATCATGTGCAAAGTATACCGTAGGGGTAAAATCAGTTTATAATTCTTCATAGTCAAATGTCACTGGGTTTAGACCATCATATACATAGATATTTAATTGCAGGAGATGTGGCTTTCTAAATGTATCTTTTTGCAACGTGTAGGTAAATAGTTGTATTATTTATAGTAAATATAAAAGATCTTTAGAAAAAGTCAGTTAAGCTTCTGAGTACAAATTGTAATAGTGAAGAAACCTGAAGTTAAAGAATACTGGCTGTGGATACTTCACCCATGGGCCATTAAATACTAACGACACTGGGTGGTAAATCCCTGGGCAGCTTATTTCATAGCTGCCTTTCCCCCATTTGGTATTTAGCTGACTGCTTTCTCTGAGCCTCTTTCTCTTTCTCTGAGTATTTCACTCTCCACATCAACTGTGTGAAAAATACAGACAATTTTCTTACCCAAAAGAAAACCTTAAACATTGCTGCATTTTCAAGACATTTGACTACACAGTACATGTTTTTTCAGGTACAGGCAGTTTTATCAGAGGCAGGGAGGTGTGGCCACTGTGAAATGACAGGGCAGTGACAATCTGTGTTGATATGAACCTTAAGTTCACAGAGACCTCATACAAGAGAAGGCAGGGGAGTTAGTAGGCCAGGTGTATCAGGAGGAATTGTTCCTCCTACCTGGCTGAGCTTCACAGCTAGAGGCCTGAGGGGAGGTGGCAACATGAAGATCAGTGCACTGGTAACTAGTGCACGCTCTGCTCCATCTGCATTACCAGATGTAGGAGAACCGTGGACAAGTTTGCTGTCTGCATGTTTTTGTTCATGAGATAACATAGGTCACTAATTAATTAACCTTATTTGCATCTTCATCTCATCTAGAATCTGCCTCCACAGAGCTTTAAACTCAGATTGATACAGGGTAAACTTTTTTCCCCAATCCCCCCCAGCCCCACCCTGCCACATTTTATACCACAATCCTATCTGGCGCTGTGGAGGATGTGCAGAGAGCATGTAGGCTTTGGATCCCAATGGAGCATGATAGGAACCCCAACTGCACCAACTAGCCAGCCATGTGACCTTGAGCAAGTTACTTAAGCTCTCTACATCATCATGTCCATAGACAGAATATCCACTCTGTGGGGTTGTGGTGGGGAGTAGTGACAATATAGGTTGGCCTTTAACAAATAGCCAGATATATCTCCAGAAAATAGGTTTATTCAGGGACAACAAAGAATTGCAATTCAGGACGTGATATAGTGGCGAACCAACCACTCCTGAGTGCAGAGAAACAAAGGAGAAGACCGCTTTTTTATAAGGAACCGTTGTAAATGAAGAGTCCATTGGAGGAAATCGGAAGTTCGAAGTATAGTGACTTGTCGTTGGCGGAGTTATGGCTGGCTCCCATTGGCAGCTGTTACTGGGCCAGGAAGACTCTTTTCTTTCTCCTGCTGTGGTAGTGAAGGAGTATTATTTCCTGTTAGAGATGCAAGGTATGTCTCCTGTTGGCGTCAGTAGTGTTGTTGAATGACAACTGAGAGAGTTCTCTAAATGAGGTTTCTATTTATTAATTTTCACACGTATAAAAAATGCTTGGCACAGTAAATAGGACTCAAGAAGTTGCAGTAAATTCTTCTTTCATATGCTAAATATATGTGCTATCTGTATCTGAAAAGCCTGCTACTGCTTTTCCCCTGGTGAGAGGGACGATGTTCTGATTTGGTTTTCAGTAGTTCAGGTGATTTTGTACCAGTACTGAGAGTTGAGGCTTTTTGGACTACTTCTGAAGCTGGGAAATGCAATCTGTGGTCCAGAAACAAAGCAAAGCTAATTTGTTCCAGTGGGGATGGATCTTCCAAACCCCTGCCACTCAGATATAATTCACAGACCTGCAACATCGGCTTCCCCTTGGACCTTGTTAGACATGCAGAATCTCAACCTGCCCACTAGGCTCACTGGATTGCAATCTGCATTTTAACAAGATCCCCAAGTGATTCGTGTGTATATTAAAGCCTGAGAAACATTGTTGATTACCTGGCATTTAGAAAACTTTTCCATCTAATAGACTCATTTGGGGGCTTGTTAAATGTGGATTCCCAGTCTAGCTTCTCTCATCTCCTGTTAACACCACAGGTGGCTCTGATGTTTTGGGTCCTTCCATGCACTTTGAGAAACACTGCACCAAGCTCTATCCAACATAGTGCTCTAAAATGGGCCAGTGCCCTCTTTTTTTGACAAAGCTACATATTCAACCCCCTTTGAGATAAGTATTATAATCCCTATCAATCTGATAAAAAAAAAAAATTAAGATGACCTTCATCAGATGTCCTGGATAATGCATATGGTCGAAATACCTTGACCCTCTTTAAATCCTAGTTGACTATGCTTTCTTTATTCCAGCATTCAAATATATGCAGTGTGTGTGTAGAAGTAGTTTTAAATATTAATGAATCTCTCCAGGACAGGGATGACAGTACATAATAAGGCATTTAATACATACTTTTAACACCCAGCCTTCCTTCTGTGTGACTGGAGACCAGTTACTTAGGATGATAACTGATTTTGAACTTCATTTATAAAATAAGGATGATGTCTCCTTGGTAGTGTTGTCGGGATAAGCATAGTGTGCACGAAGCATACATCCCAGTGTCTGAAACGTGTTGTTCCTGAACTAATGGTAACCACTTGTCCGAATGTAAACCTAGCAAGAGACAATGAGTTCATGGAAAGCTGAGAAAATGGAATTGCTCATGACGAGAAATCTCTCCAGCTAAGTTGGATAACATCATCTACCAGGCCTTTGGCCAAATCAGAGAAGTGGGGTCACTACTCTGTTTTCGGCAAGCATCTGTTGAGTCTGCGCCATGTGCTGTGCACTGGGCTGGAACTGGGAATCCCAAGACAAGACCCAGACCCTAGCCTGCTCTGGAGGAGCCTAGAACCTGGGAAGGGAGAAATACAGAAGTCAGCCGGCAATTCTGTTTCATCAAAAGCATTGAGGGATGAAGCCCACATCAGGGGCACCACACCCAGGTGGGAGATGGAGGAGCGAAAACCTGAGAAGGTTCATGGAAGCAGGGACCCTTGACCTGAACCTTAAAGGACCACTAGGGATTTGGCAGGTGAAAAGGGTTGCGAATGGAGACTTCCCAGCACGGTATCCAGGAGTACGAAGAGAGAGAATACCGGCAGGTAGTCCTCATGGCTGGAGCCCAGTGTGCATGCATAGCCCTTATTAGCTGAGTGACCTCAGGCAAGTGCAAATCATCTGTGGTCTGAGAGGATTAAATGTGTTAATTGGGGTAAGCACAGGATTGATTCCAATTATGTGCCTAATAGTCCTGGTGGTAGTAGAGATCTTAGTGGAAAATAAGGGACAGATATTGTCATTAGAATTAGAGAAAATAAAGAGGTCAATTTGAGAATACATTTAACAGAAAATACTAAAAATTAAAAGAGGGTGACTGAAAAAGAATGGAATGCAATTCAGTACGGGGGAGGGGGGGACACGAGGTGTATGTGTTCAGTGATGGACCACTGATTATATAGATAATGGTATATTGTTACCCCCGGGAGTCTAGATTTGAGTGTAGAAAGGTCCTCTCATTCTAGGTGGTGAGAGGATCTGTGCAGGGAGGGACTAGGAA